CTTTTATGTACAATAATGAGACAAATCAATTAGTATAAAAAAAATAATTGTTTTTAAGAAAAAGTATGTAATTATTTATAATGTATTTTTTTAAACAATTATTCGTTTTTTTTTAAATTAATTGATTTGTCTCATTATTCTGTACATAAAAGTGTTAGGGTAAGATTATCGAAAACTAAATATTTTACGAGATATTTTAATTTTTATATCAAAATATGTCAGATTAAAATATAAAATAACTCAAAAAGTACTTAATGAAAAAATACTTTATTATAGTGTTTTGAAAAGCTCTCGAGATAAGCTACAAGAATATGCAATAAAAAATAGGGGGTTTCACTTAAGAAAACATCGATCACATTGACCTTACCTTGAAAAGGTCATTCAAGGTCAAGTCCATATTTTTATCATGTGGCCCCCACGAAATCATGCAACTTTTGTCTGAAACATTTTTTTAAAATCTTTTTTACTTTAAGAGATATTCAGCTGCATCACTTAAAATGATACACCCTGTATATACAGGGTGTATCCTAAAAAGTGGGAAGTATTGCAATGGGGATAAGCTACAAGAATATGCAATAAAAAATAGGGGGTTTCACTTAAGAAAACATCGATCACATTGACCTTACCTTGAAAAGGTCATTCAAGGTCAAGTCCATATTTTTATCATGTGGCCCCCACGAAATCATGCAACTTTTGTCTGAAACATTTTTTTAAAATCTTTTTTACTTTAAGAGATATTCAGCTGCATCACTTAAAATGATACACCGTGTATATGAAAAATGACAGCGTCCAATAAAATTATTGCGAGAAGAATTTATTTATTTACCCTTCTACTTATGCATAAAATTTCATCATAAGAATATTTATATTATTATATGTATATCTATCTATATCTATATATACAGGGTGGTCCTCGTAACGGTCGCCATGATTTTTAAGGCACTTACAATAATCTGACATAAAAAAGTCATAAACAGAAATTTATCAGTTTCTAACCGGCAACA